ACCCACCACGTATTTTGCTGGCAGATGAGGTCTTACGGGGTATCTGTCACGTGCCTCACATGACCCCACCGATTTCTAAGGAATCCAACATTATGCTATTATTTTACTTTATCAATATTGGTATAGATGTATAAAATTTTATATGCTTTATTGGGTGAACATTTTAATATAATGTGCAAGTTGGACAAGTTGGAATAAAGTAAGATGGATGAGCTTTGTTGTCCAATCTGACACAACACCAGTGGTATAAGAGGGACTTGAAGGTTGCGTTGTTCATACTCTTTAACTCTTATATTTAGGAAAAATTCATTTTAATTTCACCAACATTTTTATATGGATTCATTAACTACTATTAAGAAAATTAATAAGTTACAGGTAATTACTTACATGAGCATAGGTCCCTTATGGAAACATGCCTCTGGAGTTTAAAGATTTAGCTGTCTGTGTATATTTTAACGCATGTCTTACTGTAGATTACCATGTGGAATTAGTAGATATGGTAAACATGTGGAATGACTGGGTAGAACCAGTACCAAAAAATAATAATATTGTATCTTATAACAATTGAAATTGTATTCATTTCATTTGAGGATTAAATTTACAACAAAAATTTGTCTATGCATTATCATATTTAAATGTTAGAGTTTGCTAGAGTCTAGAGTCTAAACAAATACAAGTTATAGGATTTAAATGAATTCTGAAAAAAATTTTACATGTCATCTTTCCAAAAGCTACCTAAATTACTTTTCTCAATGAATGACCAAGTTGAGTTGGTGGAACACAAACACGGTTGAATATTACATTACCTAATTTTGCAATGCATTTGATTCATTATAAAATGTGTTTTTATTTTTTCATGGATCATACAAAGTGAACTTAACGCGGTCATTGCAGGTTTTTCTGTCACAAGGGGCTCCAGAAATTATAGCTCTCAAGGTGGTGCTAATGGTGGCCATAGAGTGTCAAGATTGAAGTCTCAATTGAGCTTCACTAGACAAGATTCTCTTTCTCAGATCTCTGAAGTAAGTGAGAATCTTGTTGATGGTGTTAGCTCTAGCAGTAACCACCAAAATGCTGCACATTCATTTGCTGCTGCTGGCTTTGGAATGGATTCATGGGATAATACCAATTCCATTGTGTTTTCTGCCCCACCAAGCAAGAGGGCTAAAAATATTGATGGCGATATTTATAACTGTCTCAATGCCTTGGAAACTCAGGTACTTAGATTGCTCTCCCCTTCTTATATGATATTGGAATCAAGGAAGAATGACTTATGGTAGTTGTTCCTATATCTTATATGAAAAAGACTATTTCGTAGTTCATTATTTCTCATCCTCATGCTCAATATGGTTGTTTGTCAAGTAAGAGCAAAATTTTGCAGCTAATAGTAGCACCATTGATTAGTTTGTCATCACCATGGTGCATAACAATGTGCTTTACTGGAATGTCCTTAACTTCACACTGTTGGCCTTACATACTTCCATTCAATCTTTATTTCAGTTTAGCCTGCCCCAAACAACACTTGAAATGGCCACGGTGGAAAAGCTGCTACATATTCCTGAAGATTCTGTGCCCTGTAAAATCCGAGCCAAGCGTGGCTGTGCCACTCACCCTCGAAGCATTGCTGAAAGAGTAAGTAAAAATTCAAGAGATAGAATTAATAGTTATAGATTGCTATTACTGCTTAGAATTCGAATTGCCTATTCATAGAAAAATCTGCAGATGTTACTGAAGATTCATAAGACCAACCTATAGTCTTTTCAAGTGACCAGTTCTATCAAACTTTACATTCTGCCTCAGAAAGTTCAACTTCTTTCTTATATACCTTGCACATGTAGAACATTTGTAAGGGCTATTAACAATAGTTAGTATGATGCTAAAGTTATATTGCTGTTTGCCATGCTCTTGTTGCATCCATAAATCTCATTGTTCATTTGTCTTTAGCATTGCATCTCAAAATGAAACTTTTGACATTGTTAGGCATGATTCAATATGGAAGAACCACAATTAGATATTCATTGCCCCTCTTTTTTTTCCTCTTTTCTTGTCTTCTGGCTTGGAATTTTATGTGATGTGCACATGAAAAGTATTATTGTGGTCTTGACGATCGATGGCAGCAATGTCAAAGTTGAAAGTAAAAATGATATCCAAGAAAGAAAGAAGCAAGCAATGCATCCACTGGACTGGAGCATAAAAGCCCTCATACCTGCACAAGCAGGTAATTTCTGCTCCTTTGTGGAGCAGATGGTAGGTACCCGAGCATAAGACTGCAGCTATTGAGTGCAAGAATATGATCTGCGCTTCTACTTATTCATTCTATGGGTACAAAGGACAGGTTGTGTAATAGAACATCTCATTGTGCCCTTGGATCATTGAAATGATTATTTGATTAATTGATAATTCTTACTGCCACTTGCTCATATTATTGTCTTGAAGAAGCTACATGCATAATACTCTATAAACTTACAGTTGGTTAAGATACATGAGCATATGATATACATGTTGTATTCCCCTAAAGAATGGTCAGTCATACTGAGCATCATTAAACTTGTTATATGCATACAGGAGAGAAGAACTAGAATAAGTGGGAAGCTGAAGAAATTACAAGAGCTTGTTCCTAACATGGATAAGGTAATCGCATTTTCAATACTGGACCTCAGGTCTTGAGTCTATATTTAGGTTGCTCCAAATTATTCAATACCTTAGCAAGGATTCTGGACTTTTGGTATCCAAATTGTCGTAAAAGGAATCCATTTACAATGTATATTGTTGTTTTCAATGAGTATAATGTATCTTTAAAATCTTCTTGCAGCAAACGAGCTATGCAGACATGCTGGACTTGGCTGTGCAGCATATTAAAGGCCTTCAAAATGAAGTTCAGGTTCGTAAATTTGTCATGCTGAGTTACAAACAGATTATATTATTTGTTTCTTTGAAGAGGATTGCTATGATTCTGAACATGATAGGTGCTTACACAATAGGCCACAATATGAAATCTATATGATGTCTGTGTGTGTGTGTGTGTGTATACCCGTGCATGCATGTGCACATGTTATAGGACTGAAATGTAATCCTGATGCATATAGCGCATCATAGAGTACATAATTGATTAACTTTCTTACTGGTTATTCTCTGTTGTATTTAAAGTAAGTAAATTCTGTGAATTGGAATTCAGGTTTTCCTTGGAGACGCTCAAACATTAGGCATGTTCCATTACCAAGCACTTTCATCAGGCCCTCCTATAAGGATCATGATTCTTTTGCTATCATTAACATATTTACTTACAAGCTGGAGTATAAAAATAAAATTTACAATTGGGAAAATTAATCACTTAAACTACTTTAGAATTAGAATGATCCAGACCAGAGAGCCTAACGTAGTCAACTTGGACAAGTGCCATTTATGTAGTACAAGAGAGAGCTCTGATCTTATTCATTGTCACAAACGACTTGGTTTGGCTCTGATCTTATTCATGAACTCGTGTGCTGTTTATATCATCGTGTAAAAAATGTTAAATATGAATACCCTTTTGTATCTTTCTGATAATCTTTAAAATTTGTTATAAATGGCTTAGAAGTCCTGCATTTTGGCAACCCTTCCTTTCTTGTAGTCTTTTTGGTTGATTTGTCTACTTCCTCTCTTGCAGAAACTGCACAAAGAACTCGAAACTTGTACATGCGGATGCAAACAAGGCTCATGATATTCCCTAACCAGGTTTAATGAGCCAGCACTGGTCTGATTTCTAAATTTTGTTCAACGTGGGTGCTTAGTGGAGCCAAGACTAATTTTGTTGTCTTAGTTTGACATAATAATGCAAAGCAGAGGTATAGAACTTGAAACTGTATATAATGGAGTGACATTGTTCCCTAGTTAAGAAGAGGTTGAGTTTGAAAAGGACAAAAAGGGATTGTTAAATGCAGATGGTAGTTTCAGTTTCCCTTTTCTGATAGATTCAGTGTCTCTCCTGTAACATATGTGTCGGCTTTTGTATCTTAGATGGGCATGAAGAACTCAATTGATGTTTCGTGTATTTATTCATGCTACAACTTTATAAAATGTCAATGTTATATGATTGATTTTTCTTTGCCTTTTGGGGTAGGAAATTTTTGATTATTGATATGTAACTATTGTTTCCAAATTGCTTCTTCTCTGTGATTTTTAACATAGTGATTTCTACAGTGGTCCACTTGTTGCTCGAGGTGGGTAGAATAGAATCTTCCATTCTTAAATGACTCATGCCAACTGTAATAAAGGCTTCAATCTCTGACATTTGTCCATGATCCAACCTGGGGAGGTCTCATGAAATAGAAGAACTCTCCTGACTTTTGATCAGTCCTCACGAGAATTGGAGTTGGCAAGTCTTGCCAATTCATTTCTTGTTACTAAAATGAGACGACCTCATCAGCCGGTCCCCATTCAAATACCCCTCTCTTCCTCTCAATGGATAAACCACTCTGAATTTGATCATAGTTCATAGTCTCAAAAAGAAAGAAACAGTGAGAGCAGGACAATTAGGTTTGGCTGGAAATCTAATTGCTTCTTTACTCCATGTGGTAAATCATATACTTGTGGAAAAGGATTTCTTGACCCATGTCCAAAGGAACATACAAACACATAAACCCATGCAAACTCATTAAAATTACTTTTAGCGGTTACAGTCAAACATCACTGTTAACATCGTAATGACTATACTTCTCCTTTTTCTCTTTATCCTTATTAAAAAATTTGTAAAAAGAATATGCAAATAAACAAATAGTATTATTTTATAGATTGGTTGAGAGTTTTTAATTTTTCAAATAAATTTTATAAAATTATTTATATGTTCATTTAGTAATTAGATTAATTTATTAATTTTTTTTTTAATTTTAATGTAAGGCAATAGAAGTAGGATAATTTTCTTATATAAAGTAGTGAAGTCATGTTTAAATAACAATAGTTATAGTTAGTAATTTATAATAAAAATAAATAAATAACGGATCCCATAAAAATCAATGATGAACCCACTCCATGCGCAATATGTCTTTGCCAGCTTAGCTTCGGACGGAACTTCCCCCACATCCCAGTCCCTGTCTCTTTCCTCCGTTTTTTTCCTTTCTGTCTTAACACCAGAATCCCACCGCAAAAACCCAAAGCCAAGGCCATGTCAGACGACGAAGCAGTAGGAGAAGAGTACCTTTTTAAGATAGTTATAATTGGAGACTCGGCAGTTGGCAAATCCAACCTCCTTTCACGGTATGCTCGAAACGAATTCAACCCACATTCCAAAGCCACCATAGGGGTTGAGTTTCAGACCCAAAGCATGGAGATCGATGGCAAAGAAGTTAAAGCTCAGATTTGGGACACGGCTGGTCAAGAAAGGTTTCGTGCTGTCACTTCTGCTTATTACAGAGGCGCTGTTGGTGCTCTTATTGTTTATGATATCAGCAGGAGAACGACCTTCGACAGTGTCAGTCGGTGGCTTGATGAACTCAAGAGTAAGTTTTTTTTTAACTCGTTTGCTGGTTTTATAACTGCCCTTTTCTTGGTTTTGAATTTTCCTTTCCGGGTTTTTGATGTTAGGTAGATTGAGTGTCTTCATATGGATTTTTAAGATGTTTTATGGTTTTGCTCTGGGATTGGAGGATTTGGTGGTTTTTAGTTGTTGGTTTGATGAGAACTGGGGATACCTTTTCGGTAATATTGACAGTTCAACTTGACTGGATTTTTTTTTTGGGGCGGTTGGATTGGATTTTAACATTTGCTTTTGGTAGATTTGGCACTAAAACGACTGCTATAAGAAGATCCATGAAAATTTTGAGATTGGTTGTTTGGTTGGTGGTTTTTACTTTCTTTCTTTGCCCTTTTAGGATTCTATCTTGATTTGTTCATTTGGTTGGTTATTGTGGGTTGGATTATTAGATCTGATATTGTAATGATTGTAGTTTAAGGCTTAAGCTAGAAGAAAGCTGACAACAGCAATAACATTTGTTCCCTAGAAGAAAGTAGTAAACTAATAGTTACCTAGGGATTAGCTTGCTGATGCTTTTTACTTTCAACCTCCTAGAGTGGATTTTATCTGTTAATGTAGCACTTTTTCATACAGAATAATTGTTTACTTGCATGTTGCAACTTCTTACCTTGTGTTGCATATTGCTAGATAGTGCACCTTTTAAGGTGGAACTATTATGTGTGAATTTCCAATTTATGTAAATCTGTAGATATCAAGATCTTATTTGTGGAACAAATTATAATCAGGAATTTAGTTGTTCAACTTGTTTTACTGTTTATTGTTCTAGAAAGCAGATACAGTGTGAATACTAGGTGATATTCTATTTCTCCTTTTCTCACCCTTGTTTTGTGGTGATATGCACTCTTTTGTTTTGTAGACATCATTCACGTGAGCCAAGGGTGTCAAAATTAGAGTGTGTCCTGAAATTTTTAGGGTAATTGGAGCACATCCTGTGTGAGATCAACTGAGAATACTAATAAATAACACAAGTGGCCAATATTCTCTTTAGTGTACTGGAATCTGCTTACATTCACAAAGGAAGAATTAATGGCTATAATTTATACACAAAAAAAATCCTAAGAGTACAACAACACTATAAATGATAGTTAAATACTCAATCCCCAAAACCATTCTTTATTCATTGTTGTTCCCTGAAATCTGAAGCTTTGGGACAATTCCTATGCTTCTCAGTGTCTTCTGCATTCTTCTTTCAATTTGTTAACCCTGTAATAACTTCATTAGCACCCATATATCATCTTGTATCAGCCTCACAAAACCTGAATCAATACAATCTTGAAGCCATGTGGTTGGTTGTACTGCCAACCATGTTAGTTATGCCTATTACTTCCTCCAAGAAATCCTTGGTAGGAATTGTCCCTTAATTGTGAATGCACTTGGAGTCTTACCAGTGTGCTCCATTCAAATTTATTTTCTTTTATATTTTCAAATGAAACCATCATGAGTATAGATTATGAGAAGAGTTTCAATTCCTTTATAGTAATAATAATTTTAAGGCATTTAATGTCCTTTTCTCTTAGATCAAGATTTGCACCTACTATCTTTACGTCTTTCATCGTGTCATGATGTTTCAAATTCTCATCCAGATCCAAAATTCATTGGTTAACCATTGGATCAACTAAGAATTATACCACTTGCAACCAAAATCTCATTGCAGTTCATTTTCATAAGTGTTCTATATCTTATGGGCATAATCTACATTAAGCTAACTTCCCAAGAGAAAATTTCTAGCTCTGATACCTTTCCTTAGGGAGATAAGAATAGAACAACGTTTTGACCCAAAACTTAATCTCTTAGGTCATAGACAAATCTAAGTACACAAGATCTATTATATTTACTTTTGATGCACAAGAACGTTCAGATATGAACCCTATATTGGACTCTTGTTAAAATCTCAAATTTAGCCTAGTCTATTAGGGTTAAATAGTTAGCTTTGGCAAAGAAGTAAATGACTTATATATATAGGGAATGATGGAACTATGGCCTAACAACTTAAGCTTTTGGGTCAAAGTGAGTTGTCATTGTACATCAAGTGTTGGTATTTTCTCTTCGAGGATATCTCGCCAGCAATAATCATTAAGGGCTCTTTAGGTTCTTTAGGTTCAAGTTGTAGGGTTGGGTTTTTAGTTGTACCTATAAACTATAAGAGAATGAAAATGCATCAAAAAATTCTACAAACTTCTATTCTAACCATATAGTATTAAATTACCTTGTTATCATGAAATGCTACCATTTTATTCCCTTGATGTTATGGAATGTGTCTTCTAAATTCAATAGAAATAAACTCTTAACATAGTATGTGGCAGCACAATTGATATGCTAGATTGTGTAAATTTTTTTTTGTACGTAATTGATTTTGAAGAGGAAAAAGAACAATTATTAACCAAAGAATGAAGAAATTAGCTAGGGAGAGCAGCTAAGGAAGACCAAGAATGGAAGAAGGACTTTGAAGGAAGCATTGGGTTAGAGATTGTAAGAAGCAAAAGAAGAGAAGGATGAAGAACTTATTCTCATATTACGAGGTTTATCTGTCAGACACTTCATCTCTGTTTCAGTGTTCAGTGTTTGTACGTGTTTTCAATTCATAGCATTCCAGTGATTGCCCCAGTGAATGGCAAAGATTGCCTTTGTCAAGTTTTCCATATAGTGTTAATACACACAATTGCCCCCCAATGCAGACAAGATTGATGAGAAGGAATGGAAATAGAGAATATAAATATTTGAAATGCAAATGCTTACATTTAGAAGTCGGTAGATGACTTGGAGAAAAATTCCCTTCCTAATGGTTGAGACTGGCTACAAGGGTATAAGGAGAAAACTCCAAGATTCTCAAAGCTAGCTGATTTATTACTTATCAATTAGGTCTCTTTTATCAGAGACCTTGGTACTCAAATGATCCTAATGCCCAAAGGAAATTTACTGTTGGGCCACAGGTGCCCTTGATATTCTTCCTACTTTTTTTGGTTTTCACCACAAGTATTTCCCAGATTCAACGTGACACTTATTTACTTGTCCAAAACATTTCTTTGATTTTATCTTTTCTCCTTGGCTTATCTATTTGCTTCTGAAGATGTCCAGGCTTGTCCTTACTTAAAAATTTGTGCAGCTCATTCTGATACAACAGTAGCAAGGATGTTGGTTGGCAACAAATGCGACTTGGAAACTATCAGAGATGTGAGTGTTGAAGAAGGCAAAAGCCTCGCTGAAGCAGAAGGGTTGTTCTTCATGGAGACATCTGCTTTGGATTCGACAAATGTTAAGAAGGCTTTCGAGATTGTTATACGAGAGATTTACAACAATGTCAGCAGGAAGGTCCTGAACTCAGATACTTACAAAGCTGAGTTAACTGTCAATCGGGTAACCCTTACTAAAAGTGAAACTGATGGATCAAAGCAAACCCAAAATTTTTCTTGCTGTTCAAGGTGATCTCCTACATTCAAAAAGTGTACAAGTTGAGGTCTTCCCACAGTTTGTTAATTCAATTTGGTTGGTTGATTTGTTTGTTTGCTTGTTTTCTCAATGGATATGTCTTCAGGGATTCTTTTTTACTGAATGATATCATTATTATATAGTTAAATTATTTTCTTCTGGTTAAAGAAAATAAGACCTAAGATTTTTCCGTTTCTGGATACAGCTGTACCTGCAGAGAGTGATGCAGGTAGCAATCTTATTTCACATTGGATTATTGATTTTGAATTTGATATCTAGCTATCAGATTCATTATTTTCTCATAGCCATCAATAGCATCTAGTTTAACTAGTGCCTTGGTGGTTGAGTTTTGCAACTATATATTCCTTTGATAACTTGTTTCGGGAGGTTCTTGAGTTATTTCTGTGCCTGATTGAGGAGACATGCCTGCTTTAAAGAGGGACTATCAATTGCTAAACAACCACAAGTGATGCCTCATCCGTTGTCATTGTTGGAACTGGAAAAAAAAAAAAAGAGAGAAGAGAAGAATGAAAACTCTCAATGAATATGATTCTTGGGTAGCTGAACTGTTATCATCTATTATATGTGTGGATAATGATTCATTTAAGGCTATTGATATAGCATTATGGTCCAAACTTTAAGAGCTTTTTTGTTAAAAGAAATTATCAGTTAAATCTTTATCTAAAAGTTAAAACCCCTGGTGGATTGACAGATTCTCAACACAGTGGCTACGTTGGCTCCCTAATTTGCCGGATATTAGCAGTGATTGAGTATATCTTATAAGTGGGCACTTTGCTGTGGTAATATTGCTTTTGCCTTCAAAAATTTGGCCTAAAGTCTTGCAACCTTTAAATAATATAGATTCCATAATTCACATTTTATAGCTGACCAAAACTGTAACATTGCATTGGCAGTGTGAGTTCAACCCATAGTCATGGAAACCACCACTAGCCTGCCGGTTGGGTAAATTTAAGGCAGTTTAGATGATACTTGTAGTTAATGCCATGGCTGCACCCGAGCCCATAATTAAACCGACAAAGTGAGACTTAGTTACCTACCAAGGTTGCAACCATGCCATTATAAAACAATAAAGTTTAAAACAAGTTCTTTTTTATCTTTATAGGGGTAAAGGCAATTCAAAACCAGTTTTTTAAAGCAAGAAATGTATGCATCTGTTATTGAGTCAAGTATACCAATGCTACCATTAAATTGTTAAACAGGACAAAACAAAGCCACCATTAAACAAGGCACTTGTCACTCCAGCCCCTAACCCTTGTTTTTTAATTTAATTAAAGTCATGACCAAAATCAATCCGTCTCCCTCTTCCTTTGGCTACTAAGTGGATCTTGGAATTGGGTTGTAGGTGGAGGGTCAATTGTGGGTGCAGTAGATATGATTAAGAGCCCCAATTCAAAAAATAAAAAGAGGTAATCCCTACCACAGTTTCCACCACCATACACACAGGTTAAAAAAGAAGCCATAAGAAATAAACCAAAAGGGTCAGAAAAATTATAAATATAAGACAAAATTCTTAAATTAAAACTATCAACAGAAAAAAGATTATGAAAAAAAGAGAAAAACATAACCAAGATAAGGTGACCCCATCAAATCATCATGATGACTTTAGTGATAAACTATATATGCTCTCCTCCAGCTGCACTTTGAACTTCTAGATGCTTTTTGCTCCTGTGAGTCGGAAATCTTTCCCTTTCAGTTCCTATCTGACTGCTCTCTTATGGTTGGAGATAGTGAGTGATAGAGATAGAGAAATGATCGTGCCCTTTTATTTGTAACTTTCTTCCCGCCGCCCCCCTAGCTTTTACAATTTCTTTAATGTTGTCATTGTTGGTAAAGCCATTTTCAACCCCAATTAATGAGATCTCCAGTGCTTAGCCATTTCAAAACCATTTTTGCTATAGTGATAGTCTTCAATAGTTTGATCAATCTCAGCCTGTGTGTTCATCACAAAAGGCCCATACTGAACCACTGGCTCATTGAGTGGCTGCCCAGCAATGAGCACAAATCTCAATGGCTTTGAGGACTTGTTCCACACACTTACACCATCTCCAGGACCCAAAACAAGTACATGGTTAGCTGATATGGGTGTTTTGTTTTGGTAGCCAAAGACTCCTTCACCTTCAAGTATGTATGCAAAGGCATTCCATGATTCTGGGATGTGTTGATGAACTTGAGCTCTTGGCCTCAAACTAAAATCTAGGTACATTGATGGGGTTCTGGTGTATACTGGAGATCGAACTCCCATTGATTCCCCAGCTATAACTCTGACTTCTGCCCCATCTTGCTCTGCACTTGGAATGTCCTCACTCAAAAGCTCCTGATACCTTGGTTCAATCCTGCATCAGGATTTTGGATAAGTATTTGCCATCTTTCTTGGACATGTCAAATGCGATCAAATTAGATTAACTTGTTGTGAACTAGTATTAGAAATAGTCTGGGTTTGCTAAACAGGAAATATTCTAGAAGATCTCATGAATTTACATGACTATGACAGACAGAGACAGGTTAACAACAGTGCAGTCTTCCAAAAACTTTTTCTTTTTCAACAAAAACACAAAAAAAAAAACCCATCCTTCTTATCTCTTGTTTTTAGCCCCATATATTGTTTTAATATCCATTGCTCCACAAACTACGTTGATAAAATACAAGTATTAGTATTATTATATTATAGCAATTAAAACAATATCTTACTGGTAAAATAAAGGACAACTTTTTAATGAGTCAAAGCCTGTATGAAAGGAAGACAAAACAAAATACTAATACAGATTAATTAGCTAAAAATAGTTGACATAAATCTAAAAGGTTATTCATATAAAGTATAACCAAAAGTTTTCAAAGTCAACGAGTAATTTGTTGCTTGAAATATGGTGAGTTGCTCACAGGGTGGCTCCCAGAATCCAGAATTGAGTTTGAAAAGAAACAGGAGAGTAAACTCAAAGTTTCTTACATTTTGTCTTGAGAAGACAGATTGATCCAAAGCTGCAAACCCTTATGGACACCTTCTCCAGCAGGCATTTCAGAGTGGATTATTCCCCTTCCGGCTGTCATCCACTGCTCAAAACAAAGAAAGCAAAACCCAAAAGAGAATGAAAACCCAGAAATAGGATCCGATCTGTCATGTAGATTTTAAATCATTCAAAGAAGGAAACTTTTACCTGTACATCACCAGTGTGAATTGTACCCTTATGCCCTGCAAAGTCTTGATGGGTGATACCCCCCTGAAATCCACAAAAGCCCCAGATTTGAGTTCATTCTCCTTAAACCTTTAAAAGCTCCAAGGATCAAACCGTGATCAAGAATATGTCTTTTACCAAAGTAATGAAACAAGAACTGTACCTGTGTCATGTATGTAACAGTTTCAAAGCCTGTAAAAACAGAAACTTTAAATCAGTAGAATATAACAAAACATTGAAAGATAATCCCTTTTTTTTGCATTTTTTCCTCAAGACATCTGTTCTAAGAAATTCAAGAACCTCTGTGAGGATGATCAGGAAATCCAGCAGGTGGAGACACTGCAAAAATCATTAATATAACAATTAGAACTGGTCAATCAATTCATAGAAAGAAAAAGAAAATGAAGTCCAAGAATGAGGACCAGGCTATGGTAATTAACCATACCTGAAAAATCATCCATCATAAGAAAAGGATCCAAAGACTTCAATTCACTCCTGAAATCAAATGCAAACCAATAAAAAATTAAATCAAACTGTAAACAACCCAGAAAAACAAAGACAAAGAAATGAAGAATGGAAAAGAAAAGAAGAGAAAAAAAACTCGAGAAAACCTTCCAATGCATCTCCTGACGACGGCACCGTCCCCTTCACGTTGATGCTTGGCAAGAACCTTTTTGGTCACCAATCTTGGTCTAGCGAAAGAGGCTGGATCCATTTCAGACATGATGTTTCTGACAATGGTTCTGTTTCTGTTAGTTGTAATTGATGTCTGGAACGATTGTAACACTGGCAGCAACAACCTCCTATGACTTGCGATTGCAGTAACAGCAGCTCTCATATAAAAACTGTAAGCAGTCTTCTTTTTCTTTTGGGGTGCTGTATCTTTGTGCTTTGTAACAAGTATTTCTTTTTGATTGTATGTATGTTTGTAATCCTGATGTTGGGTTTATATAAGTACTGAGACCAAAAAAAAAGACAAAAGGTTAACAAATAGGATCAGAAACAGGAGAAGAAGAGATTTTCTAAAGGGGGGGTTTGGTTGGAGGCTCTGACGTAAGGGAAGTTGGAGAGAGGCGTGGGGAAGTATTTGAGATGGGACCCAGTATTCCTTTCCTTGGACCAATCATCATGATGATGTCAAGCGTTTGTCATCCTGATGGGGGCCTCTCTCTCTCTCGCTCTCTTTCTCTCTTTCTCTGGTCAAGAAAGGCCTGGGACGTTCATTATTTTTCCTAAATAGTAGTATTATTGACATTTTTACACCATTATTAGGACAAGAACAGGCACGTGCATCTCGGCGGATAGATTGCTTTTGGCCTCAGATTCCTCCTATTTCCATTGTCAAATTTCTTGTTTCTGGAAAAAAGGGTGCAATTATTAGATGTCCAAATTTGATTATGAATCTTATTTAGGTTGATAAACAATAGCATAAAATGTCATTTTCTTCAAATATTATACATTCGAGATCAACACTAATAACTAATCATGAAAATGTCGAAACTAAGATCAGTTGATGTTGAGGTTGAAGGGACCTTAATCATTGAGCCAATTCCTCATCCTCACATGGAAAATTGTTTGTTCTTCAAGTGGGAAGAGGGGGCATTTGGGTGTTTGATGCGTGATGAGTCAGTCATGCTGCTTTCTTCTGCTTTTGTTTTGTTATCATTGGTTATTTGCTGAAGCTCTCTCTCCCAACAATGGAAGGTCAATTCCTTCGGGATTTTCATGTTGGATTCCCAAATTTTCAGAAAACGCATAAGCCGAAAAAGGGGAAGCAGCTTTTGTTTTCGACTTTAATCATAATGTTAAAAATGACATCTTCCATACCTAAGCATGGCGTTTGCATCTTCATTTCAAAAGAACACAAGGGGTGTGATCTTGACTCTTCCCCCACCTTGTTCGTCTTTTGTTTTAAAGTATTAAACCGCCGATGGTTATCTACATTACACGTATGGAACAGTATAAACCTCCAATTACTTTGACAGCAGCGCCTCCTTTCTTTG